AATCCACGTCATTCCTGCCCTGGGGGCTGGATGGGAAAGCTGCCTCCATGTCACACTGAGCAAGGTAAGAGGCAGCTAGCTTTATTTGTCAACACCCCTACGCAGGTTACTACAACCAGAATAATACAGAGACAAATGCTACATGCCTCTCAGACAAGGATATTACCGCAGCATCACAAGATAACAGCCTGAATGATTCTGGATATAGGTTGCTGTAGTAACTGGTTTTACCACCCTTGTTGTAAACTAGCTAGAAACTTGCTTCCTTCCCCTATCCTGTCTATTTGGCTGAGTATTTGATCACAGCATCCTCCAACAAATGCAAGGCCATACAGCCACCAGGCATGCATAAACTGGAGAATACCAGCCGCAGGTAATCTGATTCAGATCAGTCGCCATAGCAACCCAATCTCTGTCCCCAGATCTCAAGCTGTCAGAGCTATTTATAGAGCAGCTGCAGCCCTCCCCCTCTCCACTCAGCAACCAAAGCTGTCAGCACTGCCCACACCACAAACAACCTTCACCCAGGCACAAGGGACACTTGAAGCCATCAATTAAACAGCCTTCTCTTTAGTACCTGAAGTTTCCCACACCAGATGATGGTGTAATATCTGCACCACATGCTCTAGCCTCCCAATCATAAGGACTTCCCCAGCCCTGAATGCAAAGTAGCAGTAGTGCTCAACTGCACATAGCTGAAAAACAACAGCACTCATCAGCTGATAAAACTCCATCACTCAACCACACACAGGATCCTGCTTCTCCAAAGTAGCTCTATACAAATCCCCATTTTTGGCCCTTTTTAGTTTCACTCTTCAGCTAGCATCTCTAGGAAGGTTCTCCACCTACTAATGCAAGCATGAGACTCAAGTCAGAGTGCAAAAGTGCCAATAAAAGATACTTTGCCCTAGAGAAGAATAAGGCAGGGTAGGGTGGCACTTCAGAGACTTACTGATTCAGAGGCATAAACTGTTGTAGGTGACAGCCTGTCATCAGATGCCTCAGCATCTGATGAAGTAGACTGTCACTTATGAAAGTTTATGACCCTCTGACCTTAGTCTCTAAGGTGTCACCCTGCCCTGCAGATGCCTGATTTATGACTAACATGGCTAAGTACCTCTCTAGAACAGTAGTTTGCAACCTTTTCTGTACCAGGACCCATTTGTAAACATTGATGGCTAGTCCCAACCCAGTGCCCCTCACTCTCAACCCACTGCCCCCTGCCCCAGGCCCCAGCTCCCCAGTGCATAGGGCAGGGAGGTGAGAGTATGGGGCATAGGAGGGCCCCAAGCAGCCCCCTGCAGGCTGGAACTCTGCCAGCCAGCAAGGGAAAAGCCATGGTTTCCCAAATTTTTCTCCTTTAAAGGAGAATCCATTTTTAAAGTTTGTTCACAACCCTTTCATATATTCTTGTGACCCACTTTTGGGTCATGACCCACGGGTTGAGAAACACTGCTCTAAAGAAGCACAGACAGCTGTCTCCATTAACAGCCACATGGCCACTAACCTAGCTGGGGCTCCACCCACTGACAGCTTTGAAAAGCAAGACCAAGGCCTTGAACTGGCCACAGAAAATGAGCTGGAAGTCATGAGAGGGACTGCAGCATATGAGTGAAGTCTATAAACCAACATATTTATATCTTTTTTCTTCAATAGTATAAAACTTGTTTCATGGGAAAGTGACAGTGATGATGCATAATTTGAGGGACCAGTCAAACATAACTAGTCATCATGGTAATGTGCAGGGTAATCGCAGAAGGATCTACAGAATGAATCCCCATCTACTGCAGATCATATATATATAATCTTCCCCAGAACTCTCTCTGACCCAGTGTGTGCAGAATGGTGCTGTCCATCTCACATAAGAGAAATCCCAACATTCACATCCCAAAACAACTTTTTGTTCCCCTTTATCTGAAGGATCCAGCTAAAGATTGATTTTTTTTTTTTTAAATTAACCTCCAGGGATTTGTTTTGGTAAGCTGCATCTTAGAGTATTGTCTTTCTCACTTCTATCCATGCTTTTTCAGCCCATCCTCTGTCTGCACCTCATGCAAGCTTGCTGTGACAGCTGCAAGAGCCTTCTCTGATGCATATCTTTCCATTTGCAGCAGTTTCCCTCTGCTTCATCAGCTTGCCATCTGTCTTTAAATTACAGCTCAAAGTCTGTTTATACAGGTTGTGCAATACTCAAAATCACAAATCGTGTTGCCCTGAACTGGATTAGTCAGAATCTTCCTCAAGTGCCATGGCATTAAAGTTTTAGATACAACGTCATAGTTGCTTGTTTCTAAAGGGAAGATACCAGAGGCATAACTGGACACTTGAGCACCCTGGACAGTAGCCACATGGGGCAGAATCAGAGGCTGCAGCAGCCCAGCTGTAGCCAGGCCAGCAACACAGCTGCTGTTATTTTTGAGCCCCTCAGGGCCAGTGCTCAGAGGTAGTACCCTGGTCACCCCACTTCAATATGTTACTAGAAGATATTCTTAGGCTAAATTTTGCTCTGATTATTAGCATTGCCTGCAGCAGCAGGGGACTAGATTTAATAATCCCAAGAGGTCCTTTCCAGTCCTATATTCACTTCTCTATGCATTAAGCAGGCCAGAGTTCTGACACTATAGATGCTGAGAGGCCTTTTTTCACAAGCAATAAACTGGAGATCAACAGCCATGAAAAATTAAAAAGCAGCTTTGAGATGATGGTAAGGCAACAAGTACAAAGCACTTAAAACAAGGGTGTTGCTGGATACAAACTAACAAGAAGTGAACCCTTAAATTATTCACTTCTTATCAGAGCCCTCTCTGATGTCACTATGCCACCCTTCAGATAGAGCAGCTCCAAATCAGGGACTATGCCCACAAGAAGAGACATCGCAAGAGAGCAGCAGACAGATCAGAAGCGACCTGGCCGGACAACAGAGAAAAGAAGGCAGGAGCTCATGAGGTCTCTTCTGGCCCTACGTTCCTATGATATATGGATTGATGGCCTCCTCTTAGGCAGATTTGAAGCCCAGGAGTTGTTCATGCTATTTATTTTGCAAGTAATATCTTTCACAGAATCCTTAAACTGGAATTTCAGTTCTCCTTCTTGGGGAAGAAATACAACAGGTCAAGAAACTGCTCCCCAGGATCCTCAGAATATACTCACGCATATCAAAGCTGCAAATGAAGTGGAGAACTCCTCTGTCCTAGCCAACTGATAGATGAAAAAAACTGTTCAGTGGAAAAGAAGGGATCAGGAAGGGAACACTGATAAATGACGTCAGTGGTTTCTGTGCATCTCCAAAGGGCATGAAATTGAGAAATGTATAAATCCAAAGTTGAATAGATTTTGGAATGTACCTACTCCCTGACCTAGCACTCAGCAACCTATGCCCCTGCCATTTCACTTCCAGACCAGTCACTGTAACTTCCCCCTTCCCCAACAAACATACCTCATTCCACTTTATGGGCTGTCTCCCCTAGTACTTCATGCCTTCTTCAAACTGTCTATACATGTAACAGTGGCCCAGATCCTCCCAACCCACACCAGCCTTCTACTAAGTTCTTACAATTTCTGGTTCTCGTTCTGGTCAGGCCAGGGCAGGAAGTGATGCACAGGATGGATTCAGTGTCTTTGGGGTTAGTGTTCTGGCATGTGGGAGATTCCAGTTTGACAGACTTGTTCTCAAGTGCCACAAAAGCATTGTATGAAGTGTTGTCAGGGAAGGGTGAAGAAAAAGTTACTTCCCAACAAATCCTTTAGAGCTAAGCAGGAGACAGGATGGTGGGCTGCACAAGGTCCTTCCATACTAAGCACCAACACCATGATGAAGAGAGAATGGAAAATCCAGTTCTCATTAAGAGTCCATGCACAAAAAGTGGTAAGAAGAAGAGAGTGATGGGACGGTCAAGGGAAAAAGGGAAACACAGCATTTGAACTCTACCCTATAGGAGCCAATGATGTTTTAACTAGAGCAGCAATGGCCACCCTTCCTGGTGTGGCCACAGCTCTGCCAGCAGGTCTACTGACAGATCTACACCAGCTTCCTCATGACAGAAACTCCAGCGAATGCATCCCTATCAGGAGTGTTGCTGGCTATATCAGCTCTGGCAGAACTCTGTGGCAAAGGCTAATACTACATCATTCCTTTCATACCAGTTAGTTAACTCTTGGAAATATAGTTATCATCAAATGGTTGTTCAGCAACCCTTGGGAGAAATGAATTTGGTGGGTATCTCCTTTGTTCTAAAGAAGATCCAGAACTGCCTTCAGAAGAGGCGTTAATTAGGCCCTTGAGTTCACAGTATTTAAAAATGTACCCCCCAAGGACCAGGCAAAAAGGACAGATCTCCCCACAAGGAACACAAATTAACTGCACTGGTAAGAAATAAGGCAGAGGAATACCTACTCTATGGACAAGCAGATGATTCATACCTGGAACTGTCAACTCAGCACATTTAACCAGCAGGAAATTCACTTCACCCAGAAAGGACAGGAGTCTCCAACCACTGCAATCTAGAGTTCTCCCTGGCCTGGACCAAAAAGTATCAAATTCCAGCAGAACACATCTTGAAGGGCCCAAAACATGAGAAGAAACAGAAGTGCCCCCAAAGGGCTGCACAGCATGAGAGAGGAATCACTTTCTTCCAGCTAAGAGAAGCCAACTGTGAACACTACAGCTTACAACCATAATAAAGGAAAGAGACACAGCAAAATCAAGAAAAAAAGATGCCTTTTTTAAATTCAGGCAATGAAAAGGGATTCAGGAATACGAGTTCAAATCCTAGGTTTGGCACAACACCCTGTTTGATGTTGGTCAAGAGAGAGGTAGTTAGTTAGCTGTGTTAGTCTGAAGTTCGGCAGAGGACAGGGCAGTGTGGCACTTTACAGACTAACTCATTCAGAGAGGCATGAGCTCTGCTAGCCTACAGCTTACTTCATCAAATCCTATGACACCGGCCAAGTTATACACTCAATGGCTCATTTCCCTATATATAAAATGGGGAGAGAGATACCTCCTTCCCCCTGAAGTGTCACACGGATCATTTCTTCATGATTGAACTGATATCCAGCCCCTCTTTTGAGACTGCAAACAGCTGTGAAGTGTTAAGCAGGCTGTGGAAGAAACAGAAAATGCACAGGCTGCATTACTCCATTACTGTATTGATGAATTATTATTTCACACTAATAACCTGGATATACAGCATTCTCATTGGGCTACTGCTTCTTAACGTGCAGCAAAAGTTGTCAGAATGAATAGTTTAGACTCATGCAAAGAATACCTCTGAACTAGAGCAGACTAAGCCTTGCCAACTAGTCAGTAAAGGAAAAAAAAGCAATCAGTACCAGTTAACAAGACAGCTCAGTGTTCAGTGGCTGTTGGGTTTCAAAGTAACTCCCAGCCTGGGTGACAGTGTCTTAGGTTTAGAGCAGCAAGTCATTTGTACTGACAGGTGCTCTGAGCTGATGCTTTAGAGTCTCTTTAAATTGGCCCCTCCATCTCTAACAGACAAATTCAGCCTAGAAATAGAGTGTACTTCTAAGTAAGGGTCACTGGCCATTGAAATAGTCTGATAGGGATGTGATGGAGTCTCTGTCATTGGAAGTCTTCAAATAAAAGACTGAATGTCTTTCTAAAGATGTTCTTTGGCTTAGCTAGAAGTTAAGTGATACATGCAGGAATTACTGAAGGATCTGTTGTGCAGGAGCTCTGATGGTGTGATCATAATGTGCTTTCTAGGTTTAAAATTTATTAAGACAACCTGCCTAACTTTCTAGGGGCTAAAGTACACTGAATGTTCCACACTGAAGAAGGGTGTCCAATTTAAAAAAAAAATCTCTCTCATGGTTCAGTCTCTTCTGCTCATTTTCACACCCTCTCTCATAATTATACATTCTTGAATCACTAACAGGTTTCTTTCTCCTCCTGATTATTTATACCTCTGGCATACTTAAAAACTACAGCATTTCACACCTCCACCTTAAACATTTAGTCAAACTATACATTTTACTTCTTAATTCTTGCTTCAAAATCAGTTATTCCAAATTTCTGACCAACAGCCAGACTTTTCCATTTTCCTTCTAATAGGTCAGTATCTTTCTGAACTGGATTTGCACCTGGAATATCCCCGGTGCAGTCACAACAGAGCCAAAAGATAATAGCAGAAATTGAGACGGCCAGTTGACCATAGACAGTGACCATCCGCAACTGCACCCTAAGCAGAGAACATACCAAGTATTCAGCTTGTTACATTTAATCTTAGCCAAAAGCCCCAAGGGAAAGATTAGCACACTCCAGACTGGATTACATAATGCTTCTACCAGAGAAGCTCAAAAATTGCAGTGTATGGCAGCAAAATTTGTATCAAATTCATGTCTAATTTTCTAACCACTCTCAATCTTCATTCTTCCATATAGTCTTGTTTCCAAAATATCATTCTCCTACTGAATGCGTATTTCCAGCACTTTTCCCCACATATACTAGAGGCACTGTTCTAAATTAAATCTGTCCTTAATTTTAAATCTCTCTAGGTCATCAGCTTTTGTAACTTGCTAATACATGCATTTTTCACCAACATTCAACAGGAGTAAACAGAAAAATGGAAGATGTTAAACTAACTACTGGGCTTTCCCTAAGAGCTCTCTCTGCTACTTAATATTCTTCATTAATATTATGAAGCTTTGATCCCACAGACCATGTCAAATCAAAGTACACTGTAATTCATTTGAAGAAAAATAATTTGAGAGACTTCAGTCAATCATTTTACTAAACTTCAAATCCTGCTTCTACCAATTTCCCTTCAGACACCAATCCTGATATTCCATACAAGCATTGATCTAGTTAGGTAGGCCCGATTTGTCCTTTATGAACTTCAAAAAGGAACCTTCATCCGTACAAGCGAGACTAGGTTTAAACTAAACTATCTGCATATATTTCCAAGAGTGTCAAGTTGAAAGATTTCCTTCTCCAAAAACATATATACACATAGTATATATTTACCCTTTGCTCATGGTCTAAAAAATCTGGAAGCAAATAGTTAAGAAATCTAACAGTGCCAGCAGTTGTATGCATTATCTCCATCATTCGCAATCACACAGGCCTTAACTTCGCTTCCAACTATACTAGAAAAAGATGGTGCCTGGTTGGGTTCTGTTCCTCCAAGCGCCCCCCTAATCCTTTTTGTGTGTTAAGCAAAACACCATCTGCTCTGGTGCTAATAACAGAGTAGGTGCGTGCTAGAGCTGATAGGACACATTAACCATCACACCTGGAAAACCTGAGTTGGGTTTTTTTTTCCTTCATCACTGTGATAAAAACATGCAAGACCTATCTACATTAGCCCAGTCCAGTATATAGTAACACCGCCACATCAATATGTACAAGGTTTGCTATTATTAGTGCAGATAAGGCATCCTTTTGCTCTCCAAGGGAGACATTCTGGGATGCAACCAATGAGCTTGAATTTTTTTTATTAGATGTACAATGAGATATTAAAAGGGAACATAATACCAGGGGTCATTAAGTTAAAAAAGAATGTCATAGTTTTCCCAGTAACGCAACACAGTGAATGTGCAGGTTTGCTTAGGGAGGGGTAAGGTACGGTTATATTCGCTATCCCTCTTGCCACATCCAAGGAGGCAGAGTTAAGACTGCATGAGACTGCATTTATAATGCATTTTCAATGTATGACTCCGCATTTATAATGCATTTTCAATGAGATTCTGCCATGGCTTAGCCTGAACCTCTAGAAGCCGAGATGTGGGAAACAAAATGAAGCAACAAAAACTGGATCCTTGTGTCTTTACCCCGAGTCCTTTCCTCCTGGACCAACACAGGTGGAGCCAAGCCCACAGATCTGGACAACACCCTGGTCCAAACACCCAGGAAGAGGGATGCAGCCGGCGGGGATGACAGAGGCAATATAGGGAATGAAGCCGGATCCTGGCAGGGAGGGGACCTGCTTCCTGCTCCTCAGGTGAAAGGAAAAGGCAGCTGGGACCTCTCGGGGAGGAGGGGGCTCTCCCGGCCCATGCCCGTTTCATCAGCCTCCCTTAACCCCTCCGCTCCCGCGGCCGAGCTGCGGAGGGAGCCTCCAGCACGTGACAGCTCCGCCGCAGCGGGGCACGGACCTGAGCCGCAGGTCGCCGCTACCAGCCCCTTCCCGGCCCTCGGCCTCCCCGCAGTGACCTTGCCAAGGGCTCCCGGGGCATCACACCGCCCCGCAGGGGCACCCCCCCGCTTACCTGCGCCCCGGGCACCCGCTTGAGCACGCGCCCGGCCCCGTGTCCGCACGGGGGGGGG